CCATTAGTGTTTGTGGATGGCTTTCAAAAATAAACAAAGACTGTTTGTCAAGAGGGTTTTATGGCTCTCAGCTGTGTGAACACCCGCAGAAGTCTGTTTTTTTTACCACCTAAATAAATAACCAAAAGTCTTAACTTACATGCAGCAGACCCTGTTAACCTATAAGTGACCTAGTTGATGTTCTTTGAGGCTATTTCTTATCAAGGCACAACATTAGTAAATGTAAGATTCCTTTCTGATGGTTTGCTGAACAAGGGAGTGGCCTAATGTAAAACAGTGATGTCACATGTTTTTTTTTACTGCCCAAAAACATCTGTGAAGACATGAAGGTCAATTAGTTTGGACACAGCTTTTACTAATTATTGTTGCACTGACATTAAGTACCGTCAGAACTTGATAGCAGGAGATTTGAATTTGATTTTAAAAACAGGAAGAGTACACTTGGATTAGACTTTGTCACCTAACCAGGATGCCCAACTATCTCAGTGCTTTAACATTAAGGTGAAAGTAGCTCAATAGGCCGTGTTGTCTTTGACAAAAAGTTTTTTTAATGAGCATCATTTGAGTACACCACAGTCTGCCCTTTTGATTAACTATAGTAATTAAAACATAGTGCTTCCATAGCACACCTGCTTTGCAAGCACATACTGTACATGGAGCCTCTAAGGGGAAGCCTGTTGCAGCAGATCTGCTTTTAACACAACAATTTCTCCAGTGTGGGATCAATGAAGTACATGAAAAGATGAAGTCTATTTATAAGTTTAGTCAAGTCTTTCTTTGTGGTGTTTGTGTGATGTTATTCTCATACACACAGTCTTCGATTTCCATGTGGTTGTTTTGGGTCTTTCTAGGTGTTTAAGAGATCTTAAGACAGACCATGGCTTTTGGGCTCAACCGAGGAGACAGTCAAAAAGATGTTTGTAACCCTCACTGTGACCACTAAGTGGCACTATGGCACTGCTAGGACTCAATGGAGCCGTATTTGTATCATATCATATTGGAGTAGATTGTAGATTGTAGATTGTAGAAGGTTTGTGCTAAAATCCTTGCTAAAAACCTGAGTAATATATTAAGAAAAAAATGGGTCATACATTAATACTGAAACAAAAATCAGTTTGATAATTTTAGGATTTGTTTTGTGCAAATTCATGTCTGCAAAGATCTGAGGACATACTAATGATCCATTTGGAAGATTCAAAACAGATCGCTTGGAAAAAAACATGCAGTTTAATACAACACACTCTGAGTCATTCTGGCACAAAACAACCAACCCCACCTCTTCTAATTGACTCACCAGCCTGACTCCTTTGGAGTTCTTGCGATGAGTCTTGAAGTAATAACCTGCTACCAACAGTGCAGCAAGCAGGAGGCCAGTCAGCAGCAGAGAAACCAGAACTAGTTTAGAGTTCTTTCCCCAACGAGGCCTAGCTTCCTCAACATCTGTCTGAAAACATAGAATTACCATTATATAAAAAAACAGCAGTAAACTGATGACACATGTTTTGACAAAAACCACAGGAATCCACTACTTAATCTTAAAGTAAAGCTGACACACATAACATTGATGATGTGCGGTTTAGCATCATCTTCATGTTATGGTGTTATAGATGAGACTTGCGTGGTCTTTAATGTTTATTGTAAATCTTTACTCCAATCAATACTGTTCAATAATTTAAAAAATAATAGGGTGTAAAGAAAATTGATACACGAAAATATGGCGATATTTTTTCCCCGATCCCATATGGATATTCTACAGCACTGTATCATTTGTTTTTATTTAACATGTAAATATTCTTGCCATTGGCTCACTTTATTTAGCTTTTACGATTACAAATGTAGACCCATCTGTTCCCATTTTAAAAACCTGTTGGTAAGCATGTAACAGCATTGTGTGTTTACTATGCTGACAGTTTTCCTTCAATCAATTTTTGGAAAATAAAACTATGTTGTTGTGATACGTATCGTATAACCAGATTGTAGCCAATACACAGCCCTAAAAATAAGGTATGAACCCAGTGACACAAGGGAGGTGGACAGGTTTTTTTCTCACATTGCTGGTTTCAAGCCTGGACAACTGTTCAAAGTAAACTTGTGTTGAAACAAGAACATCAAGAAAAGTTTAGACCCAAAGGATTCAGGGACATAATGAAAATGGACATGGATGTAAGACTGTGAGATTTAGTATTTACCATTAACAGATTCTTGTTTATGTTCCATTTAGAAGAACTGGAAACAACATTGCTGCCCTATTGCAAAGTTTCCTTTAACAGAGGCTAAGCTGAGTGTATTGGCTAATAAGGTCATTGAGTGAATGGTGGTGTAAAGTGAGAAAACACAGTCAACATCAAGTACAAAGACACAGGAGGAGGGTGTGACGGACACACCCGTAACCCCAGACCGTTCCCTTGGTATTGGGAAATGCTCTGCAGCTGTCACATGGATTGTTTGTGGGCTTTTTGTTTGTCACAAACCTCTGTCATGCTGGCAGCTCATGGAGTGTTTTCAGCCTGGTTAAGAGTAAATGTCTCATCCAGTCTGGTTATGAGTCAGACACTGTATTTTTAATTTATTGTGGCCTTGCATGGTTCACGCTGTGGTCACGACCATAAAAGTCGACTCAAAATAACTACAGAATAGCTCTAGAGTAAAGTATTGTAGCTTCTTTTTTGGTTGATTTTAAAACCTATTTCTAACCAATTTCAAATGTCACATTAAAATATACAAATCTTTTTTACCTTATCTTTGATGTTGTCATTGTTGAACTTGTTGGCCATGCCAGTGACATCATCTGCAAGGAAAAGTTATATATAATTATGCACATGTCCATACATAAAGCTGCTAATTAGTTTGCTCCACTTGTATGTAGACTTAAAAAGCTAGCAATAAGTTGCTGCCTCTAATTATAATGAAACCAAACTCCTGTGATCTGTTCTCAAATATGTGTTTGGTGCAGAGAGGTAGTGAAGACTTAATGCCAAATCGCATCTGAAAGTTTATGTTTGGTGATTTTTGGACAGTGGTGTGTTTATTCTCCACTAACTACCATGAAATGATACTGACCTTCTACATACTTTCCAGACACAATGAGTTCATTTGTGTTGTCCTCCTGGTAGATCTCCAGTTTACAGTCTTCACCACAGAGCTCCTGAATAACACTTATAATCTTCACCTTGGAGTCTTTCTGCAAGAAGACCAGGATGCATTATAATTAGTATAGAAACCTTCTGGTCTAGACAAGACAAGACAGTGGTTTATTTTTAATTTCTACCTAATTTGAAACCCTGTTGATTTAAAACATGAGTAATATGGAGTTTACTGAGGAAGACAAACCTACAGCATGCACAGTCCATTGGTTGCATTACTCCTTTGTTAAATAACAGACAATAATAGTCACTCAGGTAACACGACATGCGGTAGGTTGAAATCCAGCCAGGTGGATTACGACCTCCATGAAAAAGCTTCAAGTTATTTTGCAGACCACAAACTGTTATCTTGGCAGGGAGAAATATACCTTGAACACAAACCCTCCCACACATCTGCTTCAGGCCTTTCTATACATTATACACTGTGCAGCAGCAGCGGCAACCAACCCACACACCATCTGCCTTGGTTGATTTACGAGCATCTCTAACTGACTTTTAAGTAATCAGGGTGCGTGTTGAGCACGCTGAGGAAACTTCTTCTCTTTCTGACTCATTTGGAAGTTTAAGAGTAGTTGCACATGAATACTTTGACTCCTGTCAGCTGGTGAAAGCATGCTGAAAATTTGTTGGCACAGTCTTGATCTCCTGTCTTTCTCCCTTGTCTTGTGAAAATATTCTTTTCTTGGTGGACCCCGAGTCCACAAAGTTGCATTGAAAATGTGTTTGAACTCACACAGCTGGAGGTCTCTTTCAGTTTTAGACTGACGGCGTTTTTGTTCTGCACAGCTTCTTTGCTGACACAGACGACATCATCCTTTGGCATAGGCTGCAGAGAAAAACCAAAACCATGCAGTTATGCATTACTTCATTTCAGTATTATGCAATCATCATGGCTGCTCTGCAGCACTGTCCAAATTATATGCAATTATGGAACCATCATGTTGCAATGGCAAAGGATAATACCTCTGACTCGGAAAAATATTCCATATACTATTTATTCGTTCATCTTCTGGTGCTTAATTCTTTTCAGGGATGTGGGGTGAGGTGGGGGAGGGGGCTGGAGTTAATACCAGCAGTAATTGGGTGAGGGTGGGGTACACACTGTACTGCAAACACATCCCTTGAAAATATTCAAGATTTAATCATTGTTGCATTGAGGATATCTGCCAGTTTTTTTATTTCATGAAATTCTTAAAATACCTTCAAATCTCTCAAGCCTCAGCAGAAACATTCTAGATATAAGTAAATGATCCTGCTTCTCATCTGGGTTTTGTAAAGAAATTTTGAAGGTTTCTTAACCCTGCTCTTGGTTAATGCTAGTTTGGATTTTGCTGGAATATGTTGAGAAAAGGACAGATGTATTTTCCAACTATTAATTTCTTTCTAATAGTTGGAAAATATTCTAACATATATTTCTAACGTATATCTGGCTAAAATGATAGCTTCTGTACTTGGTCAAAAAATAAGACTTGTCTTTTTGAGAATGGGGCTTTTCTTTAAAGAATTATTTGTTATTCTTTAAAAACCCTTGGATGTGTATTATTTGTCATAATTTGCTCCAAATTGTGTTTACCTGTGGGAGGTTATCTGGACCGTCACCTCTGGAAGGCAACGGTGCTGGAGTTTTTGGTTCCATCACTTCCTCAGTGTTGACACCAGCAGTGGTCTTAGTTTCCCGATCTTCAGGAGCGCTGGTCTGATTGTTAGCATCTCCTGTAGTTGCTGCTGTATTCTCTGCGGTAGTTTGTGGAGATTCCATAGAAGGAATAACCCAAACGTGGCCTTGTTCCCCTTGTTGCTCTGCAAAAATATAGGACGAAGTTTGATATTAAACATAAAACAAAATACAACAGGCCGCTCTTTGATTTCCATGTCCCGCTCCATGTAGTTAACGATGATCATTTATAAAGAATGCTGTTCAAATGCTAAAGGCTCTCAGAATTCTCCTGGGAGTCTCATGTCTTGTGTTCTCACCTGTAGATTTCGTAGTCTTGGGAATCATGTCTCCTCGTACATAAGATTCAAGATTAGGTGCTGTTACAGCGGCAAGTTCCTCCTCTTGTGCTGTGACTCCTGCTGTAAAGTCAGAATAAATCAGGTCATTGAAAGAGTAGCATCAAAATTCACGTGCTTCAAATATTACTGAAGAAAAACCAACTGATTTGAATTTAGTCACAGTTTAAACGGTGTGTGTTGTATACCAAGACACTATAACAACTCACTGGAACAACTCAGTGGAACAGCTCACTGGAACTGTGTGTAATTAGCAAATCAGCACAAATGAACCACAACATATATGACCTGCAGCCCCCATTAGACCAGACGACAGGGCTCAGGAAAAGTCTTTAAATATTGAAAATAGAAGCTCTAATTCAGTGGTTCTCCAACTCTTTCTACTCTGTACCACCTGAGAAAACACTGAGCTCTCTGAGTACCACCATGATGACCAACATTAGAATACAGCAGCAGAGGCCTTCCCTGTTAGCTTCCACCACACAGGAGAGATGTTTAGAAAGATGTTTATGTTTAAATGTTGTGTTAATTGTGCATGGTAAGTTTCAGATTTATTCAACTGAAAATGTAAATGTGAAAATATGAATTTTCCCTGCGTACCACTGGTGATACACGTACCACAGTTTGACAACCACTGCTCCAACTGATCTGTGAGTTTGTACTGATCTGTCGATGTAATAGGAAACCGATGAATAATAAGTTGGGTTTTTTTTTTCATGGGGTTGTCTAATTAGTAACACAACTGTTGAACAGAATAGTTTTAACTAAAAAACTTTTAATCTCAAGTAGTTTTAATACACTGTATAACATGAAGCTTATTCAAAATCCTCCAATTTAATTCACCTCAGCTCACTAACCAAACCTGAACACTTAATGTCAGTGTATTCGTTTCAAAGATTTATGGAGACTTTTTCAATGCAGTGTTTTCTTTAAGTTTCTATTTAAACACAGGAAAGTGTTGTTGTATTTTTTGGCTAGAGGCTGCCCTGCACAGTGCTGAAAGATTAGGTAATAGAGATCTAATTGCATTAGATAAATGAAGGTCCCAGATCCCACTTTGAGCCGCTCACTTTGAAACACAATCTTTTCTACTCTAAGCACTTTAGATGGTCCTGGGTATACAGTGACTCACGTGTGATAGAACACAAATGGGGTGTACCACACATGAAATTGAAGTCTCTGTAGGCCTGGCTCTTGCCTGGTTTGCAAGTTAATATGATACAAGTAACTTGTAGTAAGCTTTATTTTAAAAAATACACCGTCTCAGTCTGAAACCACTGAGATCAGACCAATAATGCTGTGATTAGCTCTGGTCAAATTCAAAGTTTTTTTTTATCCATATTTATCCATATCACTTACTTTTTCTCTGACTAATGCATTACATCATTTCGAACAATTCCCATAATGCAATATGTGCGTAGATCAGGTTACCTCTGGATGTTACTTTGTGATTGATTTTATGTTTGAAGTTTGCTGAGCTTCTTTACTTCAGTTACCGGATTTGTTTCCATAGCAGTTGGTTTGATCTCAGGATTATATTAATTGTAAAGCTGTCAAAATTAATGCACTCATTTCCTTTATGAGGTGGTGTAATTAATCAAGCTAAATGATGCACATGTGCGATGATGTGCATTATTAGGAATGACTGGATATGAGTTTTTCATGTCCAATACCATGTAGCCACATGCTGCTTCTCTTTCATTTTTCTTTCACTTTACATTTTCTCAAAGTACTTGTATTTACATCAGTCTCCCTGTCTGTCGCTCTGTGCATACCTGGCCTGAACCACTACCCTTGCGATCCGGAACGTCTGCTCCCCTTCCTACTTAACCGTAATAGTATGACTCTAGTCTGTCCTCGCATATGATTGGCAGCATGGTGTGCCTGTCAAAATAAAGGTCTCGACCCTGACTGCATGGATTTTATAGTGCTGAGCAGAAAGGCTGTCAGCTAAGGATTCCACTGTCTGTGATAAGAGTGCTTTGGGATAAGGTATTGGACTGCAATGACTACAGCTGTTTTCCATAGTCAATCCTGAAATTTTGACCAATATCAGACTGATTTTGATCCCAAGTATCAGATCGAGCCATCCCTATTAAATACACAGTGCTTTCACCGACCAATCCATTTATCGTTGCTCCAAATCACAATCGGTGCGTGTTGGTATTTAAACAACCTGCTGAATTTTTTTTTTTTCGTTTCACTATCTAGCAATTGTTAAGGCTTCGACCTCAGGTCAGACACCCAGCCTGTGTCAAACCAACTTCACTGAGAGCAGGGCAGTAAAACTACAACTGACAAGCACACCCACTCAATTGTCAGAGTAACGACTAAGGTCTGAACCCAGAAAAGCTAAATTCCAAGTTATACATCTACCTGCTGTTATTGGTCTTTATGTTACAGTATGAGCACATGGTCTCACTGTCTCCAGTCACTGCATGTGGTTCACTCTATTACTCACACACTGGTGACACCGGGACACATGTCCACTGACTTCCTTGGGTAAATGACAGACAGGTGTCACAAGGACTGAGTAAACACTGTGTGTTTTGTGTTTGCAGACAGGGGCAGTAATCTGCCAAGAGGTCTGCAGCTTGGTGGCAACTGCCCAGCGCAGCTGTCATTCAGCAAAAATAAAACTTTTACACGCTGAGTTTTAAAACTTGTATGAAAATATTCAGGGTCACTGACCTGGTTTCTGCAGTTCTGTCAAGTGTGTTTTAAAGGCTGTATTCTAGACAAGTTCAGCTTTCACTGTCAAGTCAGGAAACTGCCAGATTTAATGCCTCATCTCTGCAAGTTTGCTGCCTTTGGTTAACTCTTTGGGACTAAAGTGCGGACGAAGATCCTCAGAAGTTTAAGGTTTTCTGACCTTGTATGTCTGTCTTCTAGACATTCTTTCAATCTGGTCCTCTACAGCTGTCCTCCCTTCACCAGCTCTGGGTGGTCTTTTGTTTATTTAACTGAACGAGGATGAGGTACAAAATGGGTTGAGAGGGTCGGGCATGAGTCAGAGTCTTACTCATACAGACGTGACACCCAGGAGAGTCTGAGTGCCGAACGATGAAATGTGTTGGCTTATTGTAGAAGTTATCTGCTGAAACTTTTTGAGATATAAGTCGTTGGTGAAAGGTGAAGCAAGAATTGAACAAGTATTAAATTTAGGAGACTAAGTTGCACTTTAAACAAAAACAAAAAAACCCCAAGTGCTTTGATACGAAACTGTTTGTTGTTTTAGAACCTCTTCACACTATGAAGTTGAAGTGGTCAACGTGGACCACAGACTATTAATCAATTTACATTCATGAATTTTTTCAGCAAGAATGGAACAAAATTCAAATTTCATCTAATAAACTCCTACCATAAATGATAAAACTGAGCCTAGTACCATGTATAAACTTAGATGGTTATTTTGTCCTTCATTCTAATAATTTGAATACATTTTAACATGCATTAATATATTTACATTTGAGAAAATAAAAAGTAAAACTGGGTAAAACTTTTTTTTTAAAAATGTATGTGTGCCAAACATTTCTTGAACCTTTTTGTTGAGTGAAAACATTCTAAATGTTTTCTTTAGATTTGGATTCTATGTAACGGACATAGAAGAAGTAAAATTTCTTTACTTTAATCTTAGTGATTTTTTTAGAATGACAATTTGGAAAGTTACCTCCTGACTTTTAATCAAGCAGCAGCATTTTTTTTCTTTTAAAATATACGTACACTACAGTATTGCACATAAAACCTACACAGGACCCAAGTCTACCATCACCACAACAACCCACTCTAAAAACAACAACAACTTCAGTCCTTCTCCTTAAGGTTTGATCACAGCCATTCTTTCATCAGTGTCATGTCTGGCTGTTATGAGTCCAACCCAGCAGACCTAATGCAACCATCTTAATCAGTGTTGACTCCATATGCTATGCAGCATGGGACCTGACTTCATTGCTCTCTTGAACATTTTCCCACCAGATTGCCCTGAGTGGCGGCTGTGGTCTGGAACTACTCCTCCCCACAACCCCCCGTCTCTTGGGATTCCTGATGGAGGAATGTGCCAGACTTTAGAGAAGACGAAGCGTCCTCCCTCCCTTCCAACTGTTCCTGTCTCCTCACCCTCTTGGAGTCACGCACAACTAATCCCACGCATCTATTAAGGTGAGGTGCAGGCCGTCACACCTCTCACACCAAACACAGCAACCCAGGAGATAAATTATCCCTGGCCACGAGCTCAGCGTGCAAACTGGTCCCTCATTCTCAAATTTGTACTTTTTGGTCTCTCTCTTGCTGGCTTTATTTTATTAAGAAGTCACGACAAGTATGATGCGCAAGAGATCAAAGCTCTTAGATGTCTAGCAACTGGCAGAAGACTGTTTTAAATGGAGACACTTGTCCATGCAGCCACTGTTATCTGTCTGTGCAGGAAGTGAGGACCAGCTGTTGGTTTTAATCCATGCCATAGAATTGGTACGAGGCCTAGACCTAACCTGGGTTCTACAAAGACTGAGCAGAAAAGAACTTAGAACAGTATTACTAGAGTTTTTTGTCTCATCCTGATGGTGTTTTGATGATAAATCTGTAGCTGTAGAAGTTCTTCTTTATCAATTTTGAAGTTGATGAATAGAATACGGTAGAATGATTTAAAAGTTCTTTCCTTTTGAAGGTATCACAATTAACATGCAAATCAAATGACATTTTTATCTAACATTATTATTTAATGTTTATAGTTATTCAAGTCTCAGATATTTTCTCTATGATCCTCACAATTTTGGAATCCATTTGTGGGCTGGGTTGGATAGTTTGGTGGGACAGATTCTGCCTATGGGCCATTAGTTAGGGTTCACTGTCCTTTTTTTTTTTTGCTTAATTCACTTAATGTTCTGTCACAGTGTAGACGGTTTTACTGATCAGCAGAACTGATCATACAGAGAAATATGCTGTGTGTCCACAGACATAACAACATTCTTATACCTCTGAATGACTCTTTGAAATGACGTCCTTCCCTGTGACTGCTCTGACGTCGGCTCAGATGTTTCCACTGCTCTGACTGTGTGATAACCTGTCCAGCTAAGACAGCGTCCACACACACTCTCACCTACTATCTGTCACTTTATTTCAGGGTTGTAGCACATGTTTCGTGGTGATGTTCCTTATCTAAACATGTGTTCTAGTGCCCTGAATGAAGCGAGGATCTGTGGTGTGATGATAATGCGCCTGAAGTGCAGTGAAACTCAATACATGCATTTATTTCACAGACACAGTGAAAGGGAGCCTGATTTTCCTGCCACCGAGGGGAATTTTCTTTGTCCCTCTGTCTCCTTTCTCTCCCTGAAAGTTATACTGGAAGCATCACCGTCTGACATCATAGAAATTAGAAATACTTTCATTTTACCAAACTATTAACCGTCTTTGAAATGTTTTTTTGACAACGTCGTGTTGTGAATTTCTGTAACCTGATTTCCCCGATAAACATCTGCCTGGTATTTCTTTCTCTCATCGGCCCCATATGTGGTGACCTCAGAATTGATGCGCTAATGAACGTTCATTCAGTTTTGTTTTCATAAATTACCATCCTGCTTTTCTTGAAGAGTATTGAATGCTGGATTTAAGAGCACACAGAGGAATGTGACATTGGAACCCAGTCGTCTAGGGTTAAACACGCTCTGCAACTCGACCCTCTCTGAAACAACACTCTGCTGACCCTACTACGTTGACCCCCTCACACACGCCGCCACCACCCCACCCCACCACATTGTTCCTGTCACCGCGATTAATGGCAGACGCTGGTCTTCTCCCCTCCCTTGGCAGAAAATTAACTACATCTCATGGTTTCAATCAGGTCCTTCACTCTGTCCCTTCACCGCTGCACCAACACTGTCCAGCTGCAGCGTTGGCCCAAACCTTGCCCTCAGGCCTCTGCAGCTCCTTATTCAGAGCTCACTCCCTCTTTAGGGAGGATCACAATCAGGAAACATGACATCTGCTTTCATTTGGCTGCATTATATCACCACCCAACTACATGCCCCCTCCCCCTTATCCCAACACACGCTCCTGGTCGACCACTGCAGTTGGACTGCCTGGTGCATTACCTTGAATGAGCCTGTTTGTCTGTTTTGAGTAAATGCAGGTAGACTGTTAGTGGATCCTGTTGCACAGTTGGGTTGTAACTGGCCATCACCAGCTTAAAGGCTCAGCATTGATTTTGTCCAGGAAGCACTGGAGACCTATAGGATCTTTGAGAAATCTCACGTAGTAATTGCTCTCACAGCAAAGAGCGCTATTGAAAAGGCTGTAATGGGCTGTAAAAATGCTGGACTGGAGTGCTTTAAGTCAATGTGCAATGATTTTTTTTTCTGCTTTAGAATCCGATTCACCTTCATCTTAACAAGTCTTTTCACAGTTACTAGATTTACTTGGCTTTATTTTGTGTTCTCTGTTTACAGCCCATCACACAGCAGTATGTGGTATTTTTTAAGACTTCAGCACCAACACAAACCAGAATAAACTGTGCAGCGTTTTGTTTGTTTTTGTCCCTGTGATGAGGCCATGCAGTGACATCATTACCCAGAGCAACAGTACAGGAATACATTTTACATGGGGGAAAAAAACTCACCCACATATACAGATGTGTAGAAAAACAGCATTCCCTCCAGTTTGACACACTGCAAGTATGAACATCGATGCATGTTTTGTTTTGTTTTGTATTGTATGAAATGAACAAATGTGGACAAATTCATTAATAATTCTTATGAAAAGTTTTTTTTAATTTTTTTTAGCCTAGTCCAACCTCCATGGCACATAATTCCTGAAATGTTTTCCTTAAGCTGTTCTTGTTTTCAGTTCTTTGTAAGCTGAATGTCCGTTACATAGAATCCAAATCCAAAGAAAACATTTAGAATGTTTTCACTCAACAAAAAGGTTCAAGAAATGTTTGGCACACATGCATTTGTAAATGTAAATGTATGAATGCATGTTAAAATTTATTTAAATTATTAGAATGAAGGGCAAAATAACCATCTAAGTTTATACATGGTACTAGGCTCAGTTTTGTCATTTATGGTAGGAGACCTCTGCTCCATCTCTACATTACTTTGGCAGTCCTTGGCCTGACAGACATTGAGGACCAGATAAATCTGAGTCCAGCAGTCTTGCTCGTGATTCTCTCCTCTTTTTTCTACCTCTTGTGTCCATGTGTTTTGTTTTGCTCTTTGCACCAATGAGGGCCAAGTTCAATTTCGTTGAACCTACAAAGAGCAATTCAAATAAAGGCAGTTCTTCTATTCTTTGTCTGTTTTATGGCATAGTTGGTGACGGTCAGGTTAAGTGAGTAAAAGGAATGTAGTGTGTCTTCAGATTTCGTTTGGAAGACCAGGCTGAGCTGGCTTGTGAGACCAGATGTCTGGCTGCCGCAGGTTTGCCTGCGAGTATCGACTTTTTCCACTCTGTTCTACTTTGGTTTCCGGGTAATTGTGTTCCCTCTTGTTTCTATATTTCTCTGTGACTTCAATGGGTACAACATAAACAACGTTTTACATAATTACATGCTGCGGAGCTGGCAGTCAATATGGGCAGGGATCGTGCTTAAGTAGAAAGCTTCCTAAAACCACTTCACAGTGCAGACACAGCTTTAATGGTACTACAATAATTATTTATAGGTACAATTTCAGATATTTGAAACAAGTCCTTCCGTACAGCAGACGTTTCAGTCACGACAGTGGAAAAGAACATAATAGAATGAACAAATTGTAATCTCTATAAATGCCCCTGTTCCTAGAAGGGAGTTTCCTTCAGTGTGTTTGGTCATGTCCTGATGTTTTACCAGCGTGTGAGAATCTACTCTGACCTCATCGTTGTGATGTTGGTACATCTTTTTTCTGTTCTTTACAAAACAACTTGGCCAAACTCCCACCTCTCAGGTTGACAGATCAGTCAGTTAATGGATGAATCCTCCAAAAAACGCTTTGCATTAGTTTGAAAATATTATTTTCAGACCATATAAGCACTGTGGTCCACGACACATTCCTTTCTCTTCTCCTCCAACTGCTTCTGATCCTGAAGATGATTTTTTTTAATAGTTTGAAATTATGTCACAGCACTTTTATTTTCCAAAGCAGAGTTCTCACTGCTGATGATCTCATCCCCATGATCCTTATGCCATGAAAAGAGACAGGAGGTTTGAATTAAGCCATTTATTGTGGACTTTGGTTCCAGCCACAACAGAGGCAAATGCTAACGTACTGTAGCTACAGTTCAAGCCCACGCCATTTTCTTGGACATTTGGAGTTTATTTTGGCCATGGTTTATCCTGTCTAGTGTCTGGGACCAAAACCAACTTCTCAGATAATTATTTTTTCTTTTTTTCTTTTTTTTTTTTTGTTCACATCATTTGTCATTATCCTGATAACTGTACCTGTAGTGCACAGTCTGTACCGGATCCCTATTAAATAATACGCAGTAAAGGTGGACCCAACAACAATGAGAGAGACAAAAAAACGAATTCTTAACACAGTTTGACACGTGCTCATAAAAAGAAAGCAGTCTAAATCTCAGCTTTTCTCCTATATTTGTGTTATATGGTCATCTTGCCTTCTGATGCTAATGCTGAAGCTAACACTGCTGGAATAGTAATAATGTTAAACAACTGGACATACATACAGTTACATTAGATAACCTACTATAGTCTTATAAGTTTATATACAGTATATACTTATATATGTATACTTATACGTACATATACTGTGTATATATATATATATTAATACACACACACACACACACACATATATATATATATATATATATATATATATACTTATATGACTACTGTCTACTACTGTAGTGAAACAACTGCATGTGTGTGCATGTGAACAACCAAACTCCACTCCCTTCTCTCACGCACACGTCCACTGGCCTCACATTGCAACCAGCTAAATATAAACGCGCATATTTTTCCTCCTTGTCCTTGAAGATCATGGGAATCGGGTCAATGAAATAGAGAGGAAAAATCTAACCAGAGTTTGAAAATTGAGCAAAGAACAAATGTAAAAATAAAGTTCCTATTTACCAGTTAATGGTAATGTGATGAGTGTGACATGTGGTTTAAAACTTGTGTAGGCGTCATTGAAAACATCTCTGAGCCGTAGCAATGATAAAAACGATCTGCAGTAGATTGATTCCTTTGTTTGCCAAAGTGTGCTCCAGAGGAATGTTTTCCATCATCATTTAGGAGTGGGGAAAAAACAAGCATTTGCTATAATGTTAAGACTAATGTGCTTTGGATTTGTTTTGAGTATGACGATATGTTGTTTACATTCCAGAGAGTAAAAAGGTTGTAGGGTTAAAACCTGGATTCAACTCAAAGACCATTCAAACAATCACTCCACTGCGGCCCCACCCCTCCTGACCCTCCCTCTTCACTCACTTCTCCCTGCAGATGGTTCAAAAGACATGGGAAAAAAACCCAACAACTTTCTATTAAATTAAAAAATCTCTACTTACTGCTCATTAGTGCGGCGATGAGAGCCAAGGTAAAAGTCAGCATTTTCCAGGGGCCGTTGTTCCTCTTTGTAGATGATGCTGCCATTCTCATCCTGAGCG